AAAAAAACCCAGCCCTTAATCACCCACTGTAGACTCACTACATTTTTCGGATTGTATCATTGTATTTTTCTTCAGTTATTTCTGCGAGTGTTGGGAAGTGACGTGATACTGATCTGAGGTTTTTTGTAAAAAGAAGAAGTATTTCTCTGAACAAGGAGAACATTTGCTTCACTATAAACTGCACAAAAGCTACTTAGTAAATGGGAAAGTAGCTATGAATAATACTGTTTACCAGTTCTTGGATGGCTTTAGCTTTAAACTGAGATTTCACAATGAAGAGAAAAGCCTTCTCTGCCAAATAGTATATCAACAGACCGTCTATCTAAGGGGTACAAGAACACAGTTTCATTGTGGTCTGGATCAATGTCATCTTTGTTATTTAAAAAGTAAGTTAAGGATGTTAAGTGAGTCTGGAGACTAAATTTTACTTTTAGTCTATTTTATTTGATGTGTTATTAATCTGACTCATGTATATTTGTAGTTTTTCCTCTTGTTAAGGCAGAGTGTTCAATAGTCAATTCATGGTACGGTCTTGAAGTATAAAGTAGAGAGCCGCAAAAATATTCCTCTTGGAAATAGGAGGAATCTGTTTCCACTGTATCACTTCTACTGTTTAGAAGTGATACATCAACAAGAAAAGAAATCAAATATATAGATATATATTTGTACTTAGAACTATGTACTTTGTAATTTGAATGCGTGTAGGTAAAGTAAGTGTACAATATGAGCAGACAGACATACACCTTTCAATACCTATTTGAATTGTAGATGGAGGACTATTTCTTTCTTTTTGGAACTGATTGGTATTAAATTGATTCAAGCAATGTGTTTGTATAATGGTCCACTCACTCATATTATGTGGTTAATGTCTGCAAAGGATATCTTCATTTACTCTCTATTTACTCTATGGAAAAATAAAATTAAATCTCAAGATCTCAGAAGGGGATAGCTGAGGAGCAGAAGGAAAACCTCAGCTATTAAAGATATTTTACATCTTGCAACTAAATGGCCTATGTAACTTACTCAGCCTACTTACAAGTACAAATTTTTTTTTCAATTCTACTCTTGCTTTTTAATCAAAGTGAGACAATTCAGAGATTGCTGTAGATTTTTAGTAGTTACTTCCAATTTGCACCATTGCTATCAGATTCAGTATAACTCACCATACCATTTGGTTAATCAGTTTTATCTGTATTTGTTGCAGGTTGCTTCATTGTCCTCCGTAGTAGAGTACAAAATTCAGTATTTTAAAACGGCCTCAGAATACTAGCACTGAATCCTGGATTTAAATTATCCTCCAATTCAGTGTAGGTTGATGTTAAGGAATTAAAGTGGAGCTTATATGAGCTATGGTTAAAAAAGTGTGTTTTGTGGGTGGGTCAGAGTCCTTTAGCTTCCGAACTTCATGACGCCAGGGGAAATCAGAAAGCTACACAGTATCTGTGAATGCTAGATTTTGCATTTCGATAGGGTTTAATTGAACAATCTGAAAAAATTCACATAAGCACAGAGCTCTCTACTGGCTGCCTGTATGGGGAGTCTGAAGAGCTCTGTTTATTGCAACAAAGGGCCTGGAATAAATTATGTTTAGTAAATTGGCTCCAGGTTTTCCTGTTTCAGACAGTAGCCTCGGAGTAATCTGTTTTATGGGCTCCACTAAATCTGACCTATTGCAGTGAGGTGACACCTCGTTTCATGGACGTGACATCGCACATGGGCCAGTTGCGTCCAGCTGGCTCTCTCTGGCAGGATGGCAGAATACCAGCGGGTCACCAGTTCGGTCTTTTGGCAGTTTTAACCTATAGCCCATTACAAATTTACGAGCCCCCCCAGGAAGCTTCCACCAGAACTGAGCCAGGTGCATCAACCCCTCTTCTGCAACGCGTTTCCCACCCCAGTGAGGAGCAGATGAATGGCTCTCTTTATTCTGGTGGAAATAGCCCTGAATTTCAGCTGCATGGATGCATAGCTTCCTTCCTCGAGCTCTCTCTCAGGTGATAACAGAGGGCTAGATGTATCCTAGCAGAAGCTAAGGCGAGAAAGCAGCTTTTGCCGCAGTATTTTTGTTTTCAAATTCTTCTACCTCTTTTACTTTGGATCTGTTCATCACAAGAAAGTTTTAGAGCATGTGGGATCCTTAGTAGAAGTATCAAAGAACTAAAGGAAACAACAATTTTTCTTTCTCTGACAAAACTCTTCTGACTTTTGGGGGAGATAAAAGAATGAGGGGAGTGGGATTTGCTTTTAGATTTCATATTTTACCTCTTTTCATGAGTTTTATTGCTTCTGAGCTGTGTGACTACAGCTCTTGTAAGCATAGGACACTGATTGACATTGCATATGTTACAGAGATGAAGGGTATTTCCTGAAGATTAATGGTTGGTTAGTCGGTCTGAAGTTCATTAACCTGAGCAAGTCATTTTTGGAAGGACTCTGTGTGGATGCTGGAGTTGTATTAGAAGATCATCATAAACTAAAAATATATGTGACAATCCAGCCGGCTTGCAATGAATCTACGACAAGACAGGGTTGGCTCAAGCTCACAGAGCAGCTGCCTTCAGTGTAAACTAAATGCCTTGTGTCAGGCATTAAAGTAAATGGTTTTTCACAGGCATTATTCAGATAGAAGAAAAAGAAGAAAAAAAAAAGAAGGTTTCTGTTAGCAAAAAACTCCTACAGGAGAACGTCAGGTTCTTTACAGCCAAAAGGCCAAATTCAGTGCTGGTCCTCAATCTGCAAATAAACAAATGACAGTGTGTTCAGGCAACTGCTTTATTCTGTCAGTGGTAAGTTTAGTCCTGTTTCTTCATTGTACTTTGCCTCAATAAAATGAGCCCAAATTGTCTGGCGAGATCCCCATTGGCTAAGACCCAGACCCTCAAGTCATGATTTCTCAGCATATTTGCAGTGAGATTGACTCCTTGTTAATTGTTTCTTTTTGAAGTGTGGCTTGTCTCTATCATCCTACTGAAGATGAACAGGGTTGGTGTCTCTTGTCTTAACATAGTCCTCCCCCATCCCTCCTCTTCGTTCCCCCTTCTTCCCTCCAGAAGGATTTCTTTAATGTAATGTAACTCTGCAATAGTACTGTCCGTGCCAGCCGTTTGTATTCCAACCACAAATAGATGTACTGATATGGAATAAGTAAGTGCTTCCTCTCAGGATCCTACAGTCTGGTAAAGACAACCGGAAGAGGAACAAATCAGAGGCATTTGATGTTTATTTTGTTTTCTTTTCATGTCATCTCATGAATGCATATGAATGCATATTTGCCCTTGGCCAAAAGTAGCACATTTAGACATTGAATCTGAGCGTTGAGGAAGGGACTGAGAAGAAAGAAGCTCAATGCTCTGTAGTAGGAAAGATGCTACAGGCGTTTGTACAAGCCCTTTCCCTCTCTCTGTCTCCATCATACCCTATCTGCACACTCGCTTGTCTTTTACAGTTGGCAGAAGTGCTGGAGGCTCAGAAAGCCCCAACTTCTCCTAAGACCCTCTGGCACAGACACAGAAAACTAAAAGAATCCTCTTTCAAATCCCTCTGCACCAGGAAGGATGTACTACCTTCATCAGGAGGTTAAGTGCAAGACCCATGGAGTAGCCCAGGTCTGAAAGGGCCTTGCAGCCCAGGGCCATGGGCTGTGCTGCACCTCCGTTAGGTGAGCAGGGGACCTTCCTTTCAATGGTTGTGCACTGCTAGCTGATGAGGGTGCTAGGATTACTCTGTCAAGTGAGTGGTTTCAGTGTCATTCAGAAAAGGATTTGAAATGCTCTTCATGAAAAGTCACGAGCCATTAATCTCCCAGCTCTAGCTACTAACCATAACATTTGCTTACTCATTGATTTACAGCATTACTTGAACACTGACATTTGTCATCTCACTATCTCGTTTGACCTCTGGTATGGTGCACTTGAAGGGGGACGGATCTCGTCTCACAGGCATTTTCATGGTCTGACCTCCATGATTCATTAACCATCAAATGCTGCCTTCAAAACTCAGCATTGAAATTCAAGAAATTACATATACAAAACTTGAGTTATGGACAAAAAGGGGACACAACTTGAGTTATTGTCCCCTTGCAACTGGGTGCAAAGCAGAACATCAGGAGAACTGTTGCTGTTTTCTGTTCAGCTACCAGGGTGGCTGTGTGACCTTGAGGAAGTAGGTTCACTGCAGTTTTATGAATCCATTTTTGCATAGGGGAAATAAGGACAGTGATAATTTCTTTCTTTTGTAAAACAGTTTAAGATTTATGGAATATGAATGACTGTTATTAAGTGAAAAGTGTTGCAAAGCTGGCTTAGTTGCACGTTGTGTTAACATAATCCCATATCAGCCTATTGACCTCGGCATGAACCACTCATTAAAGTTTACAGGACATTATGGTGCGTGAACTGAGGCAGCTATGCCTCATAGCTATTCTACTGAAAATATCATATTGAAAAGTACTTTTAAATCTGTCAGCTGTGCATTGATTTTTTTCTGTTAGAACTAAACACAATTCCTTGTCATATCTGATTTTTTAAGTTCATGTATGAGCATTTGTGATGGATACGTACTCACTATAACTTAACTTTGTATGCCCATGGTATCTGAGATATTACAGTCTATTCTAGTCATAGCATAAACATACAATAGCTGCTGTATTCAGATAAAAAGAGAGTTATAAAACATTAAACTATCCAGCTTAGTATGAATTAATGAGATGAATGGTAAATGCTTTTTATGGATATTGTACTAATTTAATTTTTGATTAAAAGTTAGCTACACTAGACGTTATTATTTGAAAAAAATTAGATATTTTTTCAACCTCAAAATGTATAAATTTAGTACTAAAGAAACATATTTACAATGTTTTGGTTTCTACTAGAGAAAAAGTCTTTTATAGCAAATGTGTTAACTGTTTAAGCTACTCTTTAAAGATATATCTGGCTTGTTTTCAGAAACATTATTTATATGATGATGCAAAAGATCTACAGATGTTTTATTTTTGCTTTCAGATTAAATTTGCATTGTTTGAAAAGCGAGGAGATTTTTCACCGTAGTTCAAAAAAAGATACAGAAGAAGAGAGCAGAATGAGAGCTTCCCAAGTACCACATGCCTGCAGCTTGTTATCTTTAGCAATGCTGTTCCTTCCAGTCGCTGGAACGTCAAAACAAAATATCCCAAGACTTAAGCTTTCCTATAAAGGTAAACTTTTCAGCAGTTTTTCTGATTCTGCCACTTTTGTTTTGATGTGATGTTGCCAGCAGTTCATTTCTGTTATTAAACAGGAAAATGAAACATGGTTGTCACTACAGTTCCCAGAAACATACAATAAAAGCCTTAAAGACGAATCCTGCCCTGGGACAATATTAAATTCTCTTTTTTGGGGGGGAGGGTTACATATTTCTGAAATATACCTTTTTTTCTTTTTTTTTCTTTTGTTTCTTTTGTTTCTTTCTTTTTTTTTTTTTAGTTTGCTCCCAAAGGAAACAGATATGCTATACATAAATTAGGGGGGATTCACTTGCCTAAACATAGGCTTCTAGTGCTCCTTGAAACGCCGTAAGGTACACGGGGGACACTCCCATGTGGCTGGTTGTGATGACGCGGGACCTGGAGGATATCCATGTCCTTCTAAAGCAGCAGTCACGATAAAACATCCAAGCACTTCAAAGGATACCACTGTTTAGGCACCTATTTTTTGTAATCTTTTTTTTCTCTAACAGTAAATTTGGTATGTGAAATTCTCGAAATGCTGTTTTCTTTCTTCTTACCTCATTGGATCAATAAGGGGCAAACCCTTATTTTTTTGAGGAGTTCCTTAACCTTAAGTCATTTGAAGTCTCATTGAGAATATCACAGGCTGAGGGGTTTAAATGCATATATATTCTTAATTCTTCTTACAGAAAGTGTGGATTTCTTGTGGCTTTGAATGTACAGTACACTTGCACAGTTTTTACAAGACACGAAGATATATTACTTTGATATTGTCTTCTTTAGCTAAAGTAAATGCTCTCCAGTTAGTTATTTTTCAACTATGTCAGCACGCTGCCCTTATGGGAGCTAATTCTGCTGTCAGTTTTTCATGCATAGCTCTTCCTCTGCATGGTAGAATTAAGCTCAAGATGGTCTGACGAGACAGGAGGCTGTAAAGCCTTCACCAGTGATTATGGTATGTTTATCGTGAGCTGTAACACACACAGGAATGTATTGAGTAAGCACAATGAAATACTATTTATTTGCAAGTTTCTGTTTTACTGGTTTTGTATACCACTGCGTGCGGTGTGAACATGCGTTTCAATGTGTCTGGGTATGAGAGAGAGGAAGTGAGATCAAGAGATCTTGACAACATTTTTATAATTTCAGGAAACAGTTACACTCACTTAAGCCAATGAATACGGAAACTGAAAGACCTAACTTGAGTTATGAACGTTAGCAGTAAAATCCCCCTAATATATAGCCAGACTTTTCACAGCTAGATCTTTTGAGATAATTCCCGATAGCAGTATATACCCTATGGTGATAGCATTTATTGTGGATTTGACGTTCATGATCAGTGAATTCCTCTGTACTTTAAAGGCAGATAGCCTTTGGCAAAATCCTGATGGATACATTTGGCAGGTAGAAGAGAAGAAAAATTATTGAGGTCAACACAGGGGGAAAAAAAAAAAAAAAAACTGAAATCTTAGTTTAAAATGGTGGCAGAGACCTGCTGGGAGTGGTTGGGAAAATGCCTGAGCTCATTTAAAAAGACAATGAGTGGATGATTGATATACAGGCCGTAACCCAAACTTTTATTAGGAACTTTATAAACCTTTTAGTTTGGCTTGAGGGTTCTAGTTTCCTATCCAAACTTTTCCACCTATATCCCTGTAGGAGAAAAAAAAAAAAAAACAACAATAGATACAAACTGTTACATAAATCTTAATTTGGAGAGCGGTGATGTGACTAAAAAGCCAAAAGAGAGGGAGAATTATCAGATGTTATTGTGCTTCCTCTTTCTGTTTTTTTTGGAGGGGGTACTTTTCTTTTCCTGTAGGGAACAAGAAAAAAGTAACTGCATTGTTTTCACATTTGCAGATGTATTAAAATAGAAATGAGGGAAGAGGTGTTCTAGATAACCTTGTCTGCTATATTCACTTGTTACCAAATCTCTGAATAATGTATGGATAAAAGAGAAGGAGAGAAGAAATAAATTAAAAACACAGAGCTGATATGAATTCTGAAGCAAACCTCCACTTTTTTTTACTCAGGAAGAGAGTTAAAATGGATTGATTCTTTTTTTTTTTTCTTTTTTGAAGATACTGAGTTTAATTTCCAGAAACACAGTATTTCTTTATAGGCTATGATTTGAAATGGTCAATATTGCAGCATTCTACTTCAAAAACAACCAAGTTTAGGTATGATTAAACAGTGGATGATATTCAGTGGTTTGTAATGTTGGTCAAATGACCATTCTGCATCCACGTGACTCCGTTTTTAAAGGATAATTCTAAGTTCTTCCTTGACAGAGTTTGCACTGTAAATGGTGCAGGTAGTGCCTGTCATAAATAATCATAGTTTTGTTGTTTATAATTATGTCAGATGTCCTGACTATTAATATAGATGGCAGAATTACTCTTACACTTTTTTCAAGCATCTCAGCTGAAACAACCCCAAGCTTTCTGAGAATAAGATGTCAGAGAAATGAACAGTCTTGCCAGGACTCATAAACTCCTTAGAGTCATGTGATTGACAAGTCCTGGCATCTCCATTCTTTGGAGTTAAGACCTGAAATATCATGAGGAGGCAGGGCCTTTTTCCACCTCTGTGGAAAACTGGCTAAACTTGGCCACGTCAGGAGGCTCTGAAAACCTGATCACACATGCCTGTTCATCTGGCTGTGCAAGGTGTCTTTCAAGGGAAATGGCTTCATCCCCTTCCAACTGTGATGGGTTTATAGGGTGGGATAGCTCCCTCTTCCCAGAAATGCGGAGCATTTGCTAGGGCAGGACTGCTGGAACCAAGCAGGACTTTCCCCTCAGTTGCTTCATCTCTTAGCTGCAGCACAGGGCACCTCAGTGGAAAGCGAGAAACCTGTTTCTTCCCATGCCCTGGCAGTAAAGAGAAGAAAGAGCACATCGGGTGACGAATGCTGAGGATGAAGAAGTATAGAGGACAGGAAGAGAGGAAGAAAAAGGGGGAAGGGTAAAAAAGGAACATGGAGAAGGAGAAAATTGAAAGAGAAGTCAGCAGTGGGTAGAGGAAGAGGGGGAAGGAGCAGGGTGAAGTACTTGAAAGTGTCTATAACCACAAGAGCACTCTCCCTTTAGAGATTCAATAAACCTTAGTGCCTCACCAGCCCTCTGCTTTCAGACAGCAATTAAAACTACAGAGCTTGTCTGCGTGGCAGTTACACGTTTTCATCTTCTGCGAGATAGCTTAAGTAGCAGAAGTCTATGCCAGAAACATTAAGATTCCAGATATTCCAGTGAATCATGTGGGTATCAACATGATGCCAGATGAGGGAGAGGGATTTCCTTTATTCTTTGCCCCAGTTCTAAAAATACACATTTTAAAGATTGTACACATGTAAACCTACAAACACGCACACACTCAATTTGTATATCTGCGTAAGAATTGCAGATTCGAGAATATATGTACTCCACTATGCTGTAGTTTTTTGTTACATACCTATAGTCCCACATTTACCTGATTCATTAACTGAAAAATTCAAAATCTCTTTTTATCTTTTTCACTCAGTCTTTAGCTTTTAGCTCGTGGCGCATGTCATTCCTATTACAGAAATTAGCATTGCTCTCTTGATGCTCCTTGTGTGCTCTCACTACAAAACCCTTAATCAATCTACCCTTTAGATACTTTTGCAAGATTGTGAGGTATCTTTATTATGTTATAGCTATAAAATTAGGAAAAGGTAAATAAACTGTTGGCTAATAGAAGATTACCATATTTAGAAACCTAGGGTCTGATTTTAAAGTAAAATTCCATATTTGTATAGAGTTTGTGTTACGCGACACTCGGTCTCTGAGCAACAATGTGTGTTTATCATTTGTTCTGATGTGGCTGGTGATACCCTCTGACTGTCATGCAAATCATGGAAGGCACAGAAGCGACATTCAGCTTCCCTAAGCAGTACACCCTTTTGTTTTTGCTGTCTACTACCTCATTTAGTGTCCTCAATTCAACCTTGACAACAAGTGCAGAAGGGTTTTTGTACACCCACCTCACTTACTACTGTCATCCAGAGGACAGTGTCAATTCCATTACTGACAGTGTCAATTCTATATACTATTACTACATTATAGGTATAAAATTGTAGAATTCATATTGTATAGAAAGTCTTATTTCCATCTATCTTTTGCATAATAGACTTTGCCAACTTATTGACAAGTACTTTTATATGGATTTGTGTGTGTATGTGTTTCTTGGGAGATTTGCAGAGACCAAGCAGACGAGAAGGTTAATCTCTTCCTAGGCAAAAAACATTTTTCAGCCTCTTTCCATTCTTGGTGTTCCTAAAAACTTTCCAGTGTAGATGCAGATGCCTCACAGCAAATTTAAGCCTACTGGCTTGCTTTATTTGGTTACTTTTCATGGATGCCTTAGAAGTAGTCTGCACACTCTAAGGATCCATTTCTATTACTTAAGAGCACACTTGCTTCCTGCACTGGGGACTTCTCCTTCTTCACAATAACTTTTTCTTCTTCACATTAAATGAATTAAGGTGCAGTCCCATCCCTTCTAAACTCATGGCAAGAGATTTGCCACCAAAGTAGTTTGCAGCAGGATCAAACTTCTACTCCTTTTCACTTTTTTCATTTTATGTAAGTGAAGTACAGACATACAGTTCTTTCTCCTCTGTTGAAGGATAACAATGTTAAATCATCAGGCCCACATGGAAGTTAGCCGTATTTAAGAATAATGTTTAACTTCATGCAGTATTTTGCATACATGTTTTTATTCCCTCTAAGAGTGATCCATTCTTATGACACAGTCAAAAAGAAAACAGAGGATAACATTTTGATGCCAGAAATCTGTCTGAAAATTTTACTGGGTTAGTGCATTTCCTTAATGTTCTAAAAATGATCCTTTGAACATAATACTTTACAATGCTAAGCATCCTGTTTTCTAAATTATTTTTGCTTTAAACATATTCAGTTTATAATTGAAGAGATGTTTAACTCTTGCGTCAGAGCAGTCAGTTT